CTAAGAAGTATACAGAACACCTCCTAGGATTGTCCAACTATTCATCCACTGGCTCCCATGGATCTCCAGTCCCTGAGGTTGCCCCAGAGACCTAGGCTGTGCTGGTAAGCAGGCAAGTGGGCTCCGGTGGTGTCAGAGAAGCCCTGGGGGCAGAAGGTGCAAAGAAACACAGCAGGTGCCGGAGAGGCAGCTCTGTAAGTCCACTGCAATTAAAGGTGTGCTGAGGGGGCCAGCCTGGTGGCACAAGCGGTTAAGTACGTGCGCTCCACTTCGGCGGCCCGAGTTCGCAGGTTCAGATCCCCGGTGCACACTGACGCACCACTTGTCAAGCCATACTGTGGCGGTGTCCCATATAAAAAGTAGAGGCAGATGGGCACGGACATTAGCTCAGGGCCAATCTTCCTCAGCAAAAAAAAAGGAGAAGGATTGGCATCAGATGTTAGCTCAGGGCTGATCTTCCTCACCAAAAAACAAAACAAAACAAAAAAAAACGGTGTGCTGAGGGCATCAGTCAAGACTTGAGCCCCTCAGATCTACTCGGGCACCATATTACGTCCACTCTGTCATGATTCTTCGAGGTGAAGGCTGGTCACTATCTTTTAAAGACTTAACATAAGAGGGTTAGTAGAACAAATACAGTCCCCACTGCTGCAGCTGCTCTTGAGGCTGTAATTGATATTCATTCTCTCTCTTCTCCTCTGCCTATTCTAGACTTCCCTCGCCCTCAGCCAGCATCTCAGCTGGCCTACATGGCTTGCCTGGTGGGGTTACCCAGACCTTCATCCCTGAGGGGTATGAGCCCTGGGCTGCCTTGCCCTTGGCAGGCTGTTGCTGCTGAAAATGCCTTTTCACTGTTACCACTTGGCATGGAAGCAACCAGACAGACCCAGGTGAATCCTCCAAGTGCCAGACCAACTCCTAATTGCCCCATTAAGTAACAGCAACCCTATCTCCTCATAATAATCAGGATCAATTATCCCCTCCTTCTTCGCCTGCTGGTCCACCAGCATGAGCTCGAAGTGACTGGGTGGAATTTGCAGATTCGGGTTCAGCAGAGGTGTCCTTCCCTGGAAGAAGTGGAAGTCCCCTCGTGGAAGTGTTCTCTACCTGGGAACCAGGGGCTCTAATCTAGCAGAGCTTAATGTTGCAGAGACAGAATGTGCAAATAATACAAGTGGGTCATTGAGAATGATGGTGAGAGAGAGCCAATCCCAACCCCTGGGTTCTTGGACCCGTGTCTTTGTTCCTGGATCTACATACTCCATCTACAGGAGGCACAGCACCACATACCTGGCTTTGATTCGGGGTATAAACCCCAACTCCTCAGGATATCTCCTAGAGCTGGGACCTTAGCTAAGTCTTGAAGAGGTCATTCCATCTTTCTGTTAGACTGGCTGCTTGTAGATAACGCAGGATATTAGAGAAGCAGTAGATCCTGTGGCAATCCATATACTGTTGTACCTCTTTCACTGTAAAATGAGTTTCTTGGCCCAAAGTGATGATATATATGATCTCATGTTGGTAAATCGAGCATTCTCTAAGCTCCTGGATAGTGACGCTACTCTGAGACATTGTGGATCGAAAAGGCAAACCCATGTCCAGAGCAGGTGTCAATTCCAGTAAGATGAATCAATGCCTTCTCCCGAGTGGAAAGGATCTGCTGTAACCAACCTGTCACCAGCTCATCTAGGGATGGTACCATATCAGGAGCTCAGCACTGATCCTGGCTGCTAACAGGTCAGAAATTCAGCAGCAGTAATAATTAGATAAGCCCTGATAAGAGAGCCCATATTGGTGGGCATAAGCTGTGGTCCTACCACCATGGCACTCTAGTCATGGGCCTACTGCACAAGCACAAGGACAGAAGCTGGCTGACCTCTATCCATCCACGTTGTTGTTCAATGACCCTCTGCAATGGGTATTCACATGAGGCACAAAGATGCACACCCTTGTGACCACTCCTGAAGGTCCATCTTCTTTCCCAGACCTCCTTGTCTCCAACATTCCCCTCTTGCTTTTTCCAGGTCCCTGACCAACCAACAAGACATCTGTCATGACCCAGAAGTTCATGTACATCCCTTCCTTAGGCTACTACTGTGTGCACTCCACTCCCTCCCTCCAAAGTAGATATCTAAGTGTACTGCTTGACGCTCTGCCTCTGGAGGATTTCCCCTCATTACTGCCATTTAGAGCCACCCTGAATGGGACTGTAGTGCAGCAGTGCTTCATTTTCAGCTTATATCAACACATCAAGCTGACCCATCTGTGAACCAGGCCTGAATTTTTCTTCCTGTCTGCTAAGAGAGAGGCATTAGTACAACAAGGTAGGAGATGTGAAGGCCACAGCCACCTCTTCCCGTAAATGACTTGTACCCCCTAGACAAGCTTGGGTCCAATCCTTTTTCATTGTGCATTGAATTGCTACTGAGCCTGCCTAACCTATTGGTTTGGTGGATGTGTCAATATCTAGCTCAGGACAGGTAGACTGGGTCACATGGTTATTTGATGCCCCATAATCAGGCACCCAGTCTCTCCTTGGGTCCAGTAGTGTGTGTGCCAGGAGCTGTTTTCAATTGCTGAGTAGTTCTCCACTGCAGAAGGCACGGTCTTGCTTCAGAACCCTAGGAGCGCGCACTGCAAATCTCCTGTTAGAGCCTGCCAAAAGTGCCACGCAGGGTCCCTATCCACCACAAATAAGCCCAACCCTAACCCACTGGTTTTGCTAAGTGGCAAGGCAACCCATCCTCCAATCTGGATCTTCAATAGAGCCCTCCTTTGCTCTGGGCCCCACTCAAAACTGGCAGTCTTCCAAATTACGCAATAAATAGGTCAGAATAGTATTGCCCAGTGTGGTACATGCTAACTCCAAAATCCAGAGGTGCATCAAGTGCTATGCCTTTCTTTGTGATAGGGTTGCAAGATGCAAAACCTGTCCTTATCTTAGAGGTGATGCCCTGGTTTGCCCTACAACACTGCACCCCTGAAAACTTCACTGATGACAGGCTCCAGAACTTCTGAGGGTTTCTCTCTCATCCTCTGACATGCATTGTCTTACCAAGGACAGAGCACTTGTCACTTCCTTCTTCACAGTGTCCAATTAGCATGTCATCATTGTTATGTGGAACGTCCAGATGATCAAAGTCTCAACGGATTATATTGTGACAGAGAGCAGAATTAAAACAGCCTTGAAGCAAGATAATGAATATGTTTGGCTGTCCTTCCCCGATAAACATGAACTGCTTTTGGAAATTTACTCTTTACTACTGGAAATTGAAGAGAATGTTCACCACATCAATAATTGCATTATTAAGTGGCAGAGGTGCATTAATTGGTTCCATTAAAGATACCTCATCTGACACAGCTGCTGTGATTGGAGATACTACTTGGCTAAGTTTGTGGTAGGCTACCATCATTTACTTGAATCCATTTGGATTTTGCAGGGACCATTCAGATGAATTGGCCGCCTGGTCAAGGACAGTTTACTAGAGAGATGTAACGGGGGCCACCACTTTTATGTTTTCAAGAGTGACACAATCTCTGCAATTCCACCAGGAATGCAGCATTCTTTCTGATTTACTATCCTGGAGGGGGTGGGAGTGGGGTGGGGAGTTTCAGGGACTTCCACTTTGCTCTTCATACCATAATGATTTTTATTCCACAGGGCAGGGATCAATGTACAGGCTCTGCCCACTGCTAGGTGTAATCATCCCAAGTCTCCACTGGGACCAGAGAGGTAACCTCAGGACGTGGGTCAAGATTCCATTTACCATCTTACTTCCTTAGCCCCTACTCTAACCAGTGGCTCACGATGCTTCAGGTACCCTGGCACAAGTGTCAGCTCAGATCCTGTATCCAACAGCCCTTGAAAGATCTGGAAAGTCCCTATTCCAAAGTCAATTAGTTACTCTGTTAAGTGGCTCTAGGTCCCTTTGGGGAAGGATTGGAGGAATATGTTTTGTATATACTTATGGTGGCATTGTAGGATCCTTCCTCAAAGGGACCAAGTCTCCCTTTCAACCAGTGGGCTCCAGGTCTCAAAACTGGCTCAGATTTAAATACGGGGTGAGGGATTGTGATTTTCCACTGTAGCAACTGACATTCGCTTTCTGATCACCAATTCTTCATTTCTTTCTGTTTATTCAAATCAAACGACTCTAGTCAGCTGCCTACCTATTTCACCCCAAAGAACACCATGGTCCAACAGGCACTGCCACAGATCCCTATGGGTCAAGTCATGCTGGTTGCCACTCCAGCCTGGGGCAGAAGCAGAAATGCAGGAGACGGACTTCAGGCGGGATCCCATCACTGTGGGATGAGTCTGAGAGCTCTTCCAACTGCCGAGGTGGGCCAAAGAGACGCGGTGCGGCCCCGGGTGTCTGCTCTAACGCGTGAGCCTTCTCCTGGGAATGATTCTGTAATTGGTTCAAGGTCTAGAGGCAAGAGGGCGAGTGGAGTCGGGGCATGGAGACCTTAGCTTCACGCAGGGCGACAAGCGCTTCCTCTGAGAGGTACGCTTCAACCGACACGGGAGTCTCGGTGGTGACAGGGCATTTAAGGGACTTAGAGCCACCGGATTTGTCCCAAGGGTCCCGATCTTTCACTTACGCACCTACCGCGTGCCCTACACTCTCCACCCCTAGAGCTGAGTCACACACACGCTCTCCTCCCCCAGGTGTGACCCACACTCGGGGCTGGCCACACTCACTCAGTGGCTCTCTTCCTTGCTCAACTACCCCGCCCGCTCTCCGATCCTGGCGAAGGCTCACCTTCCCTCAACAGCACTTTCCTGGGGACACCTACCCTTAAAGCACTCGGCCCGCGCCACTCCCGGGGAGAAGCCAGTTTGCACGCGAGCCGGGGACACCCCACGTGCCCACGTGCTTCCCCCACGTGACACGCCTCTGCGCCGCGCGCCCAACCTCTCACGGCGCTTCTGATTGGCCCACGCCGTTTCTTAGTTCCGGGTCACGGTCCAAACAGCGGCCTTTCTTTCGAGCGGCTCTGCCCAAAGAGAGAGGCCATTCGTCTTCGCCGAGCAGGGACGGGCCAAGGCGGAGACGCGCGGAATTTGGCCTTCGGAAAGGGCCCCCGGACCGGGCTCACGGAGAGAGCCGAGGGACGCCGCAAAGAGCCGAATAGAGCCGGAGAGACCCGAGTGTGACCGGAGGAGCCTGGGCTAGCCGGAAGCAGAGCCGAGCGCGGCCGGAAGGAGCCGAGCCCATCCGAAGGCGGCTGAGCGCGGTTGGGCGTTGGGCCCGGCCAAGCCTGCGCCATGGCGGCCGAAGGGACAGCTGCGGCCGGAGGCGGGGCTGTCGGCGGCCGCCTGGCCAAGGACAGTTTGCGGCAGTCTAAGTGCCCGGACGCGGCCCCGAATGCGCGGCGCGGCTCGGCGCTGTCGCGTGACGCCGAGCGCCGAGCCTACCAGTGGTGCCGGGAGTACTTGGGCGGGGCCTGGCGCCGAGCGCGGCCCGAGGAGCTGAGGGTGGACCCCGTGAGGTGGGCGGCCGGGGGGCGTGTGCGGGGCGGGAGCGGACGGGGTCCGGGCGGCGGGCGGTGGGCTGAGCGCCCTGCGCTGGGTCTGCAGCGGGGGCCTCAGCAACCTGCTCTTCCGCTGCGCGCTGCCGGACCACCTGCCCAGCGTGGGCGCGGAGCCGCGGGAGGTGCTGCTGCGGCTGTACGGGGCCATCCTGCAGGTGAGCGGGCGAGGGCCGCTCGGGTGCGTGCGCCGGCGTGCCGTCCCCGGGGCGCAGTCAGGACCCGAGGCTCGAGTGGGGGCCTGTCCCCTCGGGGGCTAGAGCGTGCGCTCCGGAGCCCCAGGCGGTGGAATCAGAGCCCCAGCCGCGGTGGGAGGAGAAGGCAGACCCTCCTGTGTGCGCCAGTGCCTCTCTGGCCCCTTTGCTGTCCATCTTCCTTCAGGGCGTGGACTCCTTGGTCCTCGAAAGCGTGATGTTCGCCATCCTTGCAGAGCGGTCGCTGGGGCCCCAGCTCTACGGAGTTTTTCCAGAGGGGCGGCTGGAACAGTACATCCCAGTACGAGCCCAGCCCGGCCCCGACCTCCCCACGGCACCTCCTTCCCCAGCCCCATCCCCCTTCCCAGTGTCTGCCTTCACATCCCTCACCCCAGGTAGGGAATTTTCCCCAAGACCCTGACCTCCCGCCATTCCACCACCCCTACCCCCTCCTGCCCCAGCCCCCTCACCATCCTGATAGGTTCCTGGGTGCAGAGCCGGCCACTGAAAACGCGCGAGCTTCGAGAGCCAGTGTTGTCGGCAGCCATTGCCACGAAGATGGCCCAGTTCCACGGCATGGAGATGCCTTTCACTAAGGAGCCCCGCTGGCTGTTTGGGACCATGGAGCGGTGAGTCAGGGGCCTCCTCAAGGCTCCTGCACACCTGGGCTGACCCCTCGTGCTGGCAGTTACTACCCTGGGCTGTGACTGAATGCCTCCATGACTCTGTTCAGCCCTCCAGTTGAGTGGATCAGGTGTCCCAGTGTCTAGCATGGTCTCTCACAGAACAGGCTTCCAAACGTTTGCCAGACAAGTCATACAGTGACAAGAAAACTGGTAGGACAGCCTGGCCTGGGGTCGATAGGAGAGGGATGGGGAAGGATAGCAGGGTGAGTGTATCCTATTCTTTGGGCTTTAGGTACCTAAAGCAGATCCAGGACCTGCCCCCGACTGGTCTCCCCCAGATGAACCTGCTGGAGATGTACAGCCTGAAGGATGAGATAGGCAACCTCAGGTGAGGGCAGGCAGGATGGGGAGCAGAAGAGCACAGGAGGTGGTGCCAGGCACCTAATGGGGTCTTCCCCAGGATTTGCTGAAGGCTGGGGTCAGGGCCTGGCCCATGAGGGTGGCTCTGACCCACCTCTAGTCACTCCTGCTGAGGACCCATTTCCCTGTTCCATTGCAGGAAGTTGCTAGATTCTACCCCATCACCAGTGGTCTTCTGCCATAACGACATCCAGGAAGGTAGGAGAAGGCATCTTGAGTCTCCCAGCCTAAGGTGAGGGGGGCCAGAGGGCCCTGGAGTGACCAGAATCCTACCCCATTCCCCCAGGGAACATCTTGTTGCTCTCAGAGCCAAAAGATGCTGACAGCCTCATGCTGGTCGACTTTGAGTACAGCAGTTATAACTACAGGTGAGGGTGAGAGGATGGCCTCCCATGGGTCTATTCCCACAGTGCCCTGGAAAACAGACCTGGCCTTCATCTCTGCATCCCAGCTGCCCAGGGTATTTAGGGACTGAGTATCCACCTTATTCCCCCAGGGGCTTTGACATTGGGAACCATTTTTGTGAGTGGGTTTATGATTATACTCATGAGGAGTGGCCTTTCTACAAAGCGCAGGCTGCAGACTACCCCACCCGGGGACAGCAGGTATGTGGGCCAGATGGTGGGGAGTAGGACCTGGCCTGCGAGGGAGGAGGAAGGTGAAGTCTGGAAGGAATGGTGAGAAAGGGTATTAACTGGGAAATGGTCCACGCTCTCCCCATTTCCTGACTCTCATCTTTTGGTGCCAGCTCCATTTTATTCGCCATTACCTGGCAGAAGTAAAGAAAGGTGAGACCATCTCCCGAGAGGAGCAGAGGAAACTGGAAGAAGATTTGCTGGTAGAGGTCAATCGGTGAGGAAAGATGGGTAGGGTGGTGATGGAGCAGGGTGCAGAGGAAAGGGGGCTAAGGAAGAGGCAGACAGACTCATGGGGCTGCAGGTAAGGGTGCAGTCAAAGTGGGGGCAGCGAGCAAGGATGAGGTATGAGACTGACAGAGAGGGACAGTTAGAGAGTGGTAAGATCAGGCCAGGGTAGGGGTTAGGCTTGACCAGCCTCAGGGAGGGGATCCAGGCGATGCCAGAGGTGCTCTGAACTCTGTACTTTTCCTGTTCCCTCAGGTATGCTCTGGCATCCCATTTCTTTTGGGGTCTCTGGTCCATCCTCCAGGCGTCTATGTCCACCATAGAATTTGGTTACTTGGTAAATAACCCAGGTGGGCGGTTAGGTGGGGGGAGGAGAAGCAGCACGGGCCTCTTGTCCTCTGGGAAATCTGGGCAGTCCTAGGTGGCCCGTGGGCAGACTGAGTGTGGTGTGGGGTGCTAGTCCCAAGTCTTCTCACCAATGTGTGGGGTGGGTTTCCTTCCCTAGGAGTATGCCCAGTCTCGATTCCAGTTCTATTTCCAGCAGAAGGGGCAGCTGACCAGCTTCCACCCCTCGTCCTGACTCTCCGACCCCCAATTCCCTGGATTTTTCCCCCGCACCTCCAGGGCAGGACCTTGGAGGGAGGGGCAAAGAACAGGAGGCCCTGGGGACTGGGCTGAGCCCCCTGGAGTAAGACTGGGGTTGAGGAGGCTAACCTCTCCCCAGGTTTGAGCAGGTCCTCATGGCAGGCAAGTGGGCAGGAGCCCCTGGGCTGTGTACCTTAAGACAATAAACAAGCTTCTTCCTTCACACTCTGTCCTTGCCCTGCTCGGGTGCAGCAGAAAGTACCAACCAAGAAATGCACACAGATTGACAAAGTGACCACTGCTCTGAGCCTCAGTTTCCCCTCCTGAAAAGCATGGCTGTTCAGTGCTCTGGGCTTGAAAGTGGTTAAGGGTCCACTCTGCCCATGGGAGCTACCTGCCCTCCTTACTCCCTGGCTACAGTTTAGAAGTGATAAATATTAGGAGGACTTGGGTGGGGGACTGGGGAGTAATGGGGGTACAAAGAGGGCCCTGGGGTGAGGCTGCTCAACCCTGAGCACAACATCAGGGGACAGGCGGCACAGCTGACACATTGATGACCTTTCCCCTACATTCAGCTATTTTTAGCTCTAATGTCACCATCCTCACGTGAGACTCTTTGGGCCCCCCCAGGTTCCCAGACCTTTGAGCAATCTTCGGCTTGCAGACACTCGACCCCCCTCACTCCTGATTTCCACCAGCGAGGGGAGGGGATTCTGGTTGCCACCCCCCCACCCCATCTGTTTTCTCAACCCAAATTTGGGAGTGGGTGTCAGGTTCCCGGTGAGGGCGGGGCGGGGGTAGCCAGGCCTGAAGGACGTGGGGACACGGGCCAGAGCGACTGGCCCCACACGCGGACAGGAGCGAACCCGAGCTGTGAGTTGAGGGGGGGGCAGCGCAGGGCGACCTGCCTGGCTCAGAGCCCTGGGCGGGCGCACGGGCGAGGACGGCGCCGGGGTTCCACGCGGTCGGGGCGGGGGTCTCCGGGACCGACTGTGCTTCTGGGGGCGCCTCTCCCCCCCACCTCGAGCCCCCTCTTTACTGTCCTCGGGGCTCCTGAAGTTTTCAAGGCCTCGACTCCATTCCCGACCCCTGCACCATTTCGGCGGAGCCTCCGCGGAAGGCCGATGCGAGGGTTCAGCGGCCGTTGACGGGGCTGGGGTGCGGGGACGCGGGCGGGCCGGGGGTGGGG